GTCTTCTTTAGTTGGCAGACCAAAGGTTGTCAACTGACAGGCTCACAACACACTCGGCTAACGTCTTGTGTGCTACGTTTTTGGTCTTTTTGACGTCATCTGTGGTCATCTGAACAAACGCACGACAACATGTAATCTCTTTGTTAAAATGACCTGGAAAATACATCACTCGCAATATTCATACGAAACTACATCCGAGACCCCAGTGGCGTATTTTTCATATCCTCACCAGTAAGGATATAGACGTTTGCTTAAATAGCGCCTAGACTGCCTAAATTTGAATAACAATAGTTATACATCCTTAGCCTCACGTTTATGTGGAAAATCTTTTCTCTTGAAACATGAGTACGAGGCTAAGGATGTATTAAGTATTAATTTCAAATAAATGACGACAATTTTAAAATTCATAGACATGTTTTGGCAGAAACATTTGCCTTCATTGGTGAGTTGTGATATGTGCATGGAGCATAGAATATATATACTGGAAAATGCTAATGAGTACAATAACGGCAAGAAGAGAAAAAAATTGTTTAATATAAAGAAAAGTATGAGAATTACAATGACAAGTTCAGATTAACATGTTTGACTTGATGATTGAGAGAAGGGTTTTCCCGCCGGATCTTAACACAATTCTTCGGGCCAAAACTTATCACGCGATTCTTTTCCTGTAGAAGGTTGTTGCTGTACCAGTTAGAGATTTTGTTTTCTTATTCATTCAGGGTATTTTCTGTTTCATTGTTTCACAGTTGGTGGCCATCGGCCGTACATAAATAATCTGTTTTCATTAATGGTGTAGTGTAATTTTTTTCTTGTTACTGCACCTTTGATTTTGTTTATGTTACTAAATGTCATCAATAAGACAGAGAAGTCGACAATATAGACTTCATTTCTGCTTCATGTGGGTTGGTGGGCATTCTAAAAGCATTTTCGTTCATTAAACTTTTTACAAGCTCATTATAACTGTCCAAAATATCATTTCCAGGCTCTTCGCAACAAACGTCCCTGGCAACATCTACTTCCTCTATAGCAACTCTCATTGAAATAAAATTCTTTACCATCCGCTTCAGGTAAAAAGTAGAGGACATCTGATCGTCCAGAAGGCGAATCTTCATTTCTGGATAGACGATATCTTATGGAGGTTCCACCGCCGTGAAACAAAATTTCAAACACTGCATGTGGATATAGTCGACGTCATTGATCAGTCCTTTCTCTCTGAGCTTAAAGAAGAAAATCCACCAGCCGGTGTCACTTTTTCTGAAAAATGACCACCATCCTTCAATTCGTTGATTTGAGACGGATTTTCCATACAAAAAGCTTTTTTCCCCTCCAAAGGCATCGGTTGCATCACTCCTGAAGAAACCCCGCATTGCAGCAATACTTCTGTGTACATTTTCAAGGAGCACCCCCACCATGCAGTCTAGGAAATATTTTCTAACAATACGGGGGTTATTGTTCGAGGTACCGACTTCAAGCCACAAAATTCGACTATATCTGTCGATTACGCCATGAATGCAAAATCCAAATGGCTTCAATTTGTCGTAGCCGTTAATGTGTCGGATGTAATTTGGTCCTCTGGATTTATATTTTCTCCTTTTTATCCGATGTTTCGAGCGACATTACACACCGTCTGGATCCTAAGAATATTTCTTACCGTTTCTCTATCCACTACCAACCCACCAGAGGCTGATCCAGACCTTGAGTTAAGGAGTCCCCAGTATTTTTTTGCTTGCCCTGCCGGCTTTTATTCCTTCTGCGATTTGTTTTTACCCAAAATAAGGGGAGGGGGGCGGCCCCCCGGGCCTCTCCCCTAGACTCGCCACTGCCCACTGCAACCCATAGTCAGACTCAGTTCCAGGTGCCTGTCAGTTCTTAGTCCTTGGTGCATCAAACGGTAACTAATTAAGCTTCCACTTCCCTGGAGCTCTCTTTCAACGGAAGCAACCACTTCAGCGGGATCGCTATAGTTTTGCCGCATTGTAAGGCCTTTCCTCTGTAGAATCCTCTTTACTTGTCGATAATTGCCTGAGACTTATACTTATCAGCCATGAGTCAATAGTAGAAAGGACATGATTATCATTTCTACATAGTTCAAACCGAGATCAAAATATTGTTTTATTAATGAATCTCTACCACGATGTGTCACTCCAAGAGCTGGGATATGAAATGGAAATACTGCATTAGGCGCTCCAAAACTGAAACAAAACAACATGAAGGAAGTAAAAAAAACTGCCACCTTACGTTCCTTGAAAATCCACCCAGAGAAGTCATAGAACTGACCCAAAGATACAGATAAAAGGGTAAAAGTCGAACTTTGTCAGTTGTGACATTTCCGATCTCGTGTTGTAAGTCGAGATCTCATGTTATAAGTCGAAGTTACGTCATAGTTACTAACTATGATTTCGTGTTGCGGTCTGTTACTAAGTTAATCGAAGAATAAACTTTTCTTGTATAGAAATGTTTTTCACTGCTTACGTTTTGTGTAGCTTGAGGTTATTTAAACTCAAAAGAGAGGGCCAAACAATATACATGTAAACGGAAAACCTCACCGCAAATTTACAAAACTCAAATCAAAATTCTCGCCAATCCTGGGTCTCAGGAGCTCCGCTCCGCTTTTAAGCTTGGCTAAATCTAGAAATAATTAATAATTACCGGATTGTTCCCAGCCCCCCAAGAGGGGCCTCAGTCGGGTGATCCGAATACTCACGAAGCTCTTTCCGAACACCAATGATATCTTTGCACGACATCGACCCGACATCTTGTTCCTGTTTGTATTTTCGCTTTGTGACGACAGGTTAAAATAATAGTTCGTTCGTTCCTACTTAGCTGTTTACAGGGCTAGAACAGGAATTAAAGAAAGATTCCATATCGAGAAACCAAGATGGATAGTTTGTTTGGTAAAAGACCTTTCTCAATCGGTGCTTTGAAGGATTTTTCGAAACTGTGAGTACCACTGGTTTTGTAGCTTTCTTTGCGAAACCTATGCAGGGTTATATTCGCTAAATATTGCAGTCTTTTATATTATTATGAAGTCATGAACACATCAACAATAAGCTTCGCATATTTTTAACATACTATAGTCGTTTTGGGGAATAAATTTGTCTGTTAATTGAGAAACCCGTCGGCGTGAAGTAGGAAATGTAGGTACATTAAGTTTGTAGGTGTTGAACAGGTGTCCAAAAAATTAGTTTTGCATTTATTTCTTTTTCGGATATCAAGACTCAATCTTGGCGCGTTACTACTTCTTGAAATGTCACAAACAGTAGCTTTTACATATCTTGGATTTGGAAATCGTCAATGATAATTCACTTGCACCAGCCCACGATGGCGGGATGGGCAACCTTTGTCATGTAAAATTGTAAATTTAACTCACATAAGTCTGCATAAGTATTTAAGCTTAAGCCCTATAATAAGAGAGAATCGGTCTGGAGCTCTGTTCAGTGAGGGTATAGGTAATAATAGACCTTATCATGGTTTTCGACGTCATCCTGATGGGTAGGCAAAGCAGTCAGAAATTACAGTGTTTGTATGGTAATCTGATGGCAAATAACTTTTTTCCAAAATTGAATTTTACACAATTTGTGAATCGCAACGTTAAAATATTAGATAGAAGATGTTATTACCCAACTGTAGCGGATACCGTCCAAATAACAGTACAAACATACAGCGATATTGTACAGTTATTTGTACAATAGAAAACCTGTTTGCCGTAAGGGTCGGTGCGAGCCTGCAAAGCTGTCACACTCTCCCTCTGTTATTGATAAATTTATTGACTACAGCAGTTGGATAATAAATCTCTTATTAGATGTTTTGGTATGTAGTATCGCTTTAAAGTGCATCTAAACCCCAATTTTTTTTTTTACTAAAACGAATCTACATGTTATTTGAACTACTTCTGCGAAAAAAGTTTTGGATTCGGTTAAATCTTCGATTTTCTGTGCCCTGACGAAATCTCGAAAATAGCCCCAAAACACTGCCATTTTGTTTCATGACCGAGTTTGAGGAGAATGGGTCCAGCGGCTGTTGTGACGTCTACCCAGGAAGGTCGAATATCTCATGTCCTCTCATTTCCTTCAGGATGGTGCAATACACATTCAAAAAGTGCGCAGAAACGCCTTCCAGAAGTGCAATTGGCTGTTGCAGCAATATCCCAGATCTAAAACAAGATATACTGTACAATTTACTGGCGATGATCGGTCAATGGTACAATAAAGACATAAACGATGGTTGATTCTGTCGAACCGAAACAAGCGAACTCGGAGTCTGTGAGAACCATTGAAGAACTCTCACTGGAATTTGTTCTGCAGACTTTCAAACGCTATTTTCAATATTTTCTGCTGAAAGCCAACCAGCAATTTGTCGAAATACTATTGACAACCTATATCAAATATACTGACCTGTAAATAGGTCGCAACTGTTCACCGCCAACCAACACTTATTTCTCTTTCAATTTAGATAAAAGTCGAAGATTAATCCTTTAGAATTACATGATAACAAAACTGTTACACGCACAGAGTTTTTTCGAAGGTTTGGAAATCAGTAGTGCGACAAACACTCTATACATTAGTGTCAAAAATACGACCACGTAACATTATCTGCGGACCGCTTAGGGAACACATCCTTTTCGCTTATCTGACGAATTT